TGTAGTGAATAGTAGTGTATAGTGTACTGTATAGTGTAGTATAGTAGTATAGTGTAAAGTGTAATGTATTGTAGTATTGTGTGTAGAAGTGTATAGTAGTGTATAGTGTAGTATCGTATTGTAGTGTAGTGTTCAATGAAAATGTATTGTAGTGTAGTGTGTAGAAGTGTATAGTAGTGTATAGTGTAGTGAATCGTAGTGTACTGTATAGTGTAATTTAGTAGTGTAGTGTAAAGTGTAATGTATTGTAGTATAGTGTGTAGAAGTGTATAGTAGTGCATAGTGTAGTGTATAGTAGTGTATAGTGTAGTGTATAGTGTAGTATAGTATTGTAGTGTAGTGTAAAGTGTAATGTATTGTAGTGTAGTGTGTAGAAGTGTATAGTAGTGTATAGTAGTGTATAGTGTAGTGTATAGTGTAGTATAGTAGTGTAGTGTAAAGTGTAATGTATTGTAGTGTAGTGTGTAGAAGTGTATAGTAGTGTATAGTAGTGTATAGTGTAGTGTATAGTGTAGTATAGTAGTGTAGTGTAAAGTGTAATGTATTGTAGTATAGTGTGTAGAAGTGTATAGTAGTGTATAGTGTAGTATCGTATTGTAGTGTAGTGTTCAGTGAAAATGTATTGTAGTGTAGTGTGTAGAAGTGTATAGTAGTGTATAGTGTGGTGTATAGTGTAGTGTATAGTGTAGTATAGTAGTATAGTGTAATGTATTGTAGTATAGTGTGTAGAAGTGTATAGTAGTGTATAGTGTAGTATCGTATTATAGTGTTCAGTGAAAATGTATTGTAGTGTAGTGTGTAGAAGTGTATAGTAGTGTATAGTGTGGTGTATAGTGTAGTGTATAGTGTAGTATAGTAGTATAGTGTAATGTATTGTAGTATAGTGTGTAGAAGTGTATAGTAGTGTATAGTGTAGTATCGTATTGTAGTGTAGTGTTCAGTGAAAATGTATTGTAGTGTAGTGTGTAGAAGTGTATAGTAGTGTATAGTGTGGTGTATAGTGTAGTGTATAGTGTAGTATAGTAGTATAGTGTAATGTATTGTAGTATAGTGTGTAGAAGTGTATAGTAGTGTATAGTGTAGTATCGTATTGTAGTGTAGTGTTCAGTGAAAATGTATTGTAGTGTAGTGTATATTGTAGCAAGATCGCTCTTGATGCAGCGACTGTTCCACCTGAAGACGGAAGCTTGTGTTGCCTCCGAAACGTCGTGATTTAATTGTTTTATTTAATTTTACCGACGTGACTTTACCGAATAAAACCAAAGAGTATGAATCCTCGCAGTCACGACAACTTCAAATCTAGAATTAGTGTGTTGTATAGTAGTGTGTATTGTATAGTTGTGTGTAGTGTATAGTGTAGTATAGTATGTTGTAGTGTAAAGTGCAATGTATTGTAGTGTAGTGTATATTGTAGTGTATAGTAGTGTATAGTGTAGTGTATAGTAGTGCAGTGTATAGTGTAGTATAGTATGTTGTAGTGTAAAATGTAGTGTATTGTAGTGTATATTGTAGTGTATAGTAGTGGATAGTGTAGTATAGTATGTTGTAGTGTAAAGTGTAATGTATTGTAGTGTAGTGTATAGTAGTGTATAGTGTAGTATAGTATTATAGTGTAGTGTGAAGTGTAATATATTGCAGTGTAGTGTATGGAAGTGTATAGTTGTGTATAGTGTAGTATAGTATTGTAGTGTAGTGTAAAGTGTAATGTATTGTAGTGTAGTGTATATTGTAGTGTATAGTAGTGTATAGTGTAGTGGAGTATAGTATGTTGTAGTGTAAAGTGTAATGTATTGTAGTGTATATTGTAGTGTATAGTAGTGTATATTGTAGTGTATAGTAGTGTATAGTGTAGTGTAGTATAGTAGTGTGTAGTGTATAGTAGTGTAGTGTATAGTAGTGTATAATGTAGTATAGTATGTTGTAGTGTAAAGTGTAATGCATTGTAGTGTAGTGTATATTGTAGTGTATAGTAGTGTATATTGTAGTGTATAGTAGTGTAGTGTATAGTGTAGTATAGTATGTTGTAGTGTAAAGTGTAGTGTATAGTAGTCTATATTGTAGTGTATAGTATTGTATAGTGTAGTGTATAGTAGTATAGTATGTTGTAGTGTAAAGTGTAGTGTATAGTAGTGTATAGTAGTGTAGTGTACAGTGTAGTATAGTATGTTGTAGTGTAAAGTGTGATGTTTTGTAGTGTAGTGTATATAGTAGTGTATAGTAGTGTATAGTGTAGTGTAGTATAGTAGTGTGTAGTGTATAGTTGTGCAGTGTAGTGTATATTGTAGTGTATAGTAGCGCATAGTGTAGTGTATAGTGTAGTATAGTATGTTGTGGTGTAAAGTGTAATGTTTTGTAGTGTAGTGTATAATAGTGTAGTGTAGTAGTGTGTAGTGTACAGTAGTGAAGTGTGTAGTGTAGTGTATATTGTAGTGTATAGTGTAGTGTATAGTGTAGTGTATAGCAGTGTATTTTGTAGTGTGTAGTGTCTATTGTAGTGTATAGTGTAGTGTATAGTAGTGTATAGTGTAGTGTATAGTGTAGTATAGTATGTTGTAGTGTAAAGTGTAATGAATTGTAGTGTAGTGTATATAGTAGTGTATTGTGTAGTGTAGTATAGTAGTGTGTAGTGTATAGTAGTGTAGTGTGTAGTGTATATTGTAGTGTATATAGTAGTGTATAGTGTAGTGTAGTATAGTAGTGTGTAGTGTATAGTAGTGTAGTGTATATTGTAGTGTATAGTGTAGTGTAGTATAGTAGTGTGTAGTGTATAGTAGTGTGTTGTGTTGTGTATATACTAGTGTATAGTGTAGTGTAGTATAATAGTGTGTGGTGTATAGCAGTGTAGTGTGTAGTGTAGTGTACAATGTATAGTGTATATTGTAATGTATAGTAGTGTAGTGCGTAGTGTAGTGTACAATGTATAGTGTATATTGTAATATATAGTAGTGTAGTGTAGTGTAATCTAGAATTGAAACTTCCGTGTCTGCGGGGATTGCTCCACTCATTGGTTATTTCGGTAAAACGCATTCCTCCAGTCACTAAAGCATCAATCCTCGATTAATCCACCTCTACAATTCTGTCCACAACACTGTGTTGTCCTCTGTGTGTGTGTGTGTATGTACCTCTGTTACCTTGCACCTCGTGGCTGGTCACGAGTCCTCTGTTTACGTTGGCTGTGTTCAACCTCGAAGGTGAACGCAAGGCGATGTAGCAGTCTCCTCTCGCAGTACGTGGTCAACCAGATTTAGCGGCTAGTTAGGGGCCGTCCATAGGTGACATCACGCGAATTTGGACGATTTTTGAACTCCCCCTACCCCCCCTCCCCCTTGCCACATGGCGTCACAAAAAGTCAGACAGACCCTCCTCCTCCTCAACTATGACGTCACAAAGCTCTGCCCCCCCCTCCCCCCTCCCTCCCCAACGAAACCATATTTCCATTTTGAAAATAAAACTCGCCTCAAATCGCTTTAAACTGTTGTTGTCATTGTAGCGCGGATTTAACGTGGCGCCGCACTCTCTGATGTTGTAGGAGAAAACATTTATTACAAATTCTTAGCTCCTTCGGTAAAGTCACCACGTTGGAGGGAAACAATTAAACAATAAAAGATATATATATAAAAAAATACAAATTCTCACACCTAATGATGACCGTTTGCGTTATGGTCGAAACGTCGTGAGAATTTTAATTGTTTTATATATATTTTATCGTTTCCCTTCAACGTGGTGACTTTACCGAAAGAGCTAAGAATATGAATTACTGCAGTTACGAAAGCTTCAAATCAAAATTTATTACAAAGTCAATTTAATCAAGTAGAACGTATTCTTGGTCCTTTCGGTAAAGTCACGTTGAAGGGAAACAATAAAATATATATTTTATACACAATAAAATAATAAAATAGATATCTTTTATTGTTTTCCTTCAACGTGACCTTACCGAAAGAACCAAGAATATGAATCACTGCAGTCACGAAAGCTTTAAATCAAAATTTATTACAAAGTCAATTAAATCAAGTAGAACGTATTCTTGGTCCTTTCGGTAAAGTCACGTTGAAGGGAAACAATAAAATAATAAAATATATATTTCTAAACAATAAAATAATAAAATATATATCTTTTATTGTTTCCCTTCAACGTGACCTTACCGAAAGAACCAAGAATATGAATCAATGCAGTCACGAAATCTTGAAATCAAAATTTAAGTGGAACGTGTTGTCTTTGTTTATTTACAAAGTTGCAGCATTTTGACGTGACGTCACATTTCTCAACCCCACCCCCACATCGTCACGCATCGTCACAAATGTCTGACCCCACCCCCTTTGGTGCGTGACGTCATTTCGAGGCTGAGTCGACCTAGAGGGGGGGGGTCCCCAGGACCGGTTCAGCTAACGGTCACTGGGCTTTGGGGGGGAGGGGGGGGGGCGATAAGAGGAACACGCGGAGAGCAGACCGACGGTTCGAGGACAGGGCCTCCTTCAGAGCAGAAGGCAACCCGGAGACCCTTACCACGTGAGTGTGCGTGCACCCTTTTAAAATGGGCTCGCAAGCGCAGTAACTTGGTGAAAGCGTTCAAATGCGTGTCCATCCCACCGTGGTAAAATTGCAATAATATCACAAGTCCCGGACTCTGCGTTGGAACGTTCTGGAAGATGCTGGAATCAGTTGGCTCTCATAATTTATGCGCGTGTAAATATGTTAATTGCAAAACCACACCCCCCCCACCCTGCTGTAATTAACATAATACATGCGCGACGTCTTCCAACGACGCTGGGCCTTTTCCCCGCCCCCCCCCCCTTCCAAAACAAAATTAACATAAATTATTTTTCACGGCTGAGCTCCGTCACGTGTGGGCATTTAATTAGATTTTTATTTATTATAATGTGGTGGCCCCCTTTCGCATGGGGGCAACGTTCGCCACCTGATTGGCAGAGCGTTAGAGCCCGCCTAATTATAATAATGTATGCGACCCGTGACCATATAAGGGCATCTCGCACGACCCCGAACGTCATAGACAAATTAACATAAAATGTTAAGTGCGACGGGAGGGGTGGGGTGTGTGTACTGCTTAACATAATTTATGCGCCAGAGCTCTGCGTGTTTCGCAGTCCGCGCGCTCCTACTGTGGGCAAACGCAAATGATTGTTGCCGTTATAAATGAACGCGCTACTTTTACATTCGTTATAAAATCGCCGCCTCCAACGTTTATTTGAAGGTAAGCAAACAAAAAAAACTCCCTCACTCTAAGCACTTTGTCATTTCGGGTATATATAGAATAAAAAAAAATTAAAAAACATCGCTGCGGCCTAGCTTCGTGCGATGCCTGCCGGTCTTTCCTAGTTTGACGCCGACTTTGCGAGCGCCTAGCCCGGCCGGTTTTTCCCAAGTACGGACCCCCACCCCCCTACCCCCGATCGCGCCTTGTTTAACGCTTAAAGTTGTACGCAGACAATCAAAACAAAAACACGTTTGTCCATAATCTCTTTTACAAACAGACCCGCAGGGTTTTTAATTCACGAATGATGGCACGGCGTTATGCCGACTGATCGCTTCGCTCCCACCACGGCGATCTCTATCCAGCAGTGGATAGACCAAGGTGACGATGTTACGTTGATCTCCAGCCAGCAGTGGATAGGCCCTGACGCTTGCTGATAAATGTTGGAATCTGTGTGTGTGTCTCTCTCTCTCCCCGTGGTGAGATGTTGACTACCTCGCCTGGTACACAGGAGGTCGTGATTGTGATGGAGTCTGCGTCTATCTCTCTCCACGTGGTGAAATGTTGACTACCTCACGTGGTGAGATGTTGACTACCTCGCCTGGTATGCAGGAGGTCGTGACTGTGATGGAGTCTCTCCCTCTCCACGTGTTGAGATGTTGACTACCTCGCCTGGTATGCAGGAGGTCGTGATTGTGATGGAGTCTGTCTCTCTCTCCACGTGATGATATGTTGACTACCTCGCCTGGTACACAGGAGGTCGTGATTGTGATGGGGTCTGAGTCTCTCTCCACGTGGTGAGATGTTGACTACCTCGCCAGGTACACAGGAGGTCGTGATTGTGTTGGAGTCTGCGTCTATCTCTCTCCACGTGGTGAAATGTTGACTACCTCACGTGGTGAGATGTTGACTACCTCGCCAGGTACACAGGAGGTCGTGATTGTGATGGAGTCTGCGTCTCTCTCTCTCCACGTGGTGAGATGTTGACTACCTCGCCTGGTACACAGGAGGTCGTGACTGTGATGGAGTCTGCGTCTCTCTCTCCCCCGTGGTGAGATGTTGACTACCTCGCCTGGTACACAGGAGGTCGTGACTGTGATGGAGTCTGAGTCTCTCCACGTGGTGAGATGTTGACTACCTCGCCTGGTACACAGGAGGTCGTGATTGTGATGGAGTCTGCGTCTCTCTCCACGTGGTGAGATGTTGACTACCTCGCCTGGTACACAGGAGGTCGTGACTGTGATGGAGTCTGCATCTCTCTCCACGTGATGAGATGTTGACTACCTCGCCTGGTACACAGGAGGTCGTGATTGTGTTGGAGTCTGCATCTCTCTCTCCACGTGGTGAGATGTTGACTTCCTCGCCTGGTACACAGGAGGTCGTGACTGTGATAGAGTCTGCGTCTCTCCACGTGGTGAGATGTTGACTACCTTGCCTGGTACACAGGAGGTCGTGACTGTGATGGAGTCTGCGTCTCTCTCTCTCCCCCGTGGTGAGATGTTGACTACCTCGCCTGGTACACAGGAGGTCGTGACTGTGATGGAGTCTGCGTCTCTCCACGTGGTGAGATGTTGACTACCTCGCCTGGTACACAGGAGGTCGTGACTGTGATGGAGTCTGCGTCTCTCTCTCTCCACGTGATGAGATGTTGACTACCTCGCCTGGTACACAGGAGGTCGTGACTGTGTTGGAGTCTGCGTCTCTCTCCCCCGTGGTGAGATGTTGACTACCTCGCCCGGTATACAGGAGGTCGTGACTGTGATGGAGTCTGCGTCTCTCTCTCTCCACGTGGTGAGATGTTGACTACCTCGCCTGGTACACAGGAGGTCGTGACTGTGATGGAGTCTGCGTCTCTCTCTCTCCCCCGTGGTGAGATGTTGACTACCTTCGTGTGGAGCGGTGGTGTAGCGGTTAGCGCTACGCTGCGCTATGAACCCGGCGACCCGGGTTCGATTCCCGCTCACGGCCAACACCACCGGTGACGATTATCTGAACCGGTCCCGGGCCTCCCCCTAGGTCGACTCAGCCTCAAATGAGTACCTTGTGCTGTGTTGTAAACATCGCCACTGGGGAGACAAAGGCGGTCGGGCGTGGTGCTGGCCACCCACCCCCTCGTGTACCGTTCCGGCCTTCATAGGTGCTCGCTAACAGCACTTGCCCCTACAGTCTGTTAAGGCTACACGGGGGATCTTTGTCCCGTGTGTGTGTGTGTGTGCATGCGTGCATCACGTGTGTGTGCGTGCGTCACGTGTGTGTGCGTCACGTGTGCATGCATGCGTCACGTGTGTGTGTGTGTCCTTCGCGTGTGTGTGCGCGTCACGTGTGCGTGTCACGTGTCACGTGTGTGTGCGTCACGTGTGCGTGTCACGTGTGTGTGCGTGCGTGTACATGCGTTCGTCACGTAAGTGTGTGTGTGTGTGTCCTTCGCGTGTGTGTGCGCGTCACGTGTGCGTGTCACGTGTGTGTCACGTGTCACGTGTGTGTGCGTCACGTGTGCGTGCGTCACGTGTGTGTGTGTGCGTGCGTGTACGTGCGTTCGTCACGTAAGTGTGTGTGTGTGTGTCCTTCGCGTGTGTGTGCGCGTCACGTGTCACGTGTCACGTGTCACGTGTGTGCGTCACGTGTCACGTGTGCGTCACGTGTCACGTGTGCGTCACGTGTAGATGTTCCGAGCGCTGCCCCTAGGCAGGGTCGACGCTGAGCTCGGCAGGGTGAGGGGCCAGAGGAGGGTGAAGCTGCAGCCGCTCAAGAGGCGGATGGCTCCTCCAGACGGGTGGGTGGGCGGGCGTGTGGGCGGGTGTGTGGGAGGGTGGGTGGGAGGGTGGGTGGGTGTGTGGGTGGGTGTGTGGGTGGGCGGGTGTGTGGGTGTGGTGAGTGGGTGAGTGAATGGGTAGGTGGTGAGTGAATGGGTGGGTGGTGAGTGAATGGGTGGGTGGTGAGTGAATCGGTGAGCGGGTGAGTGAATGGGTGAGTGAGTGAATGGGTGAGTGAATGGGTGAGTGAGTGAGTGAGTGAATGGGTGGGTGAGTGAATGGGTGGGTGAGTGAATTGGTGGGCGGGTGAGTGAATGGGTGGGTGAGTGAATGGGTGAGTGGGTGAGTGAGTGGGTGAGTAGGTGAGTGAATGGGTGGGTGGGTGGGTGAGTGAATGGGTGGTTGGGTGAGTGAATGGGTGGGTGGGTGAGTGAATGGCTGCGTGAGTGGGTGGGTGGGTGAGTGAATGGGTGGGTGGGTGAATAGGTGGGTGGGTGAGTGAGCGAATGGGTGGGTGGGTGAGTGAATAGATGGGTGAGTGAATGGGTGGGTGAGTGAGTGAATGGGGGAGTGAGTGAATGGGGGAGTGAGTGAATGGGTGAGTGAGTGAATGGGTGAGTGAGTGAATGGGTGAGTGAGTGAATGGGTGAGTGAGTGAATGGGTGAGTGAGTGAATGGGTGGGTGGGTGAGCGAGTGTATAGCTGGGTGGGTGAGTGAACGGGTGGGTGGTTGAGTGAACGGGTGGGTGGGTGAGTGAATGGATGGGTGGGTGGGTGAGTGAATGGGTGGGTGGGTGGGTGAGTGAATTGCTGGGTGGGTTAGTGAATGGGTGGGTTAGTGAATGGGTGGGTGGGTGAGTGAATGGGTGAGTGAGTGAATGGGTGGGTGGGTGAGTGAATGGCTGGGTGGGTGAGTGAATGGGTGAGTGAGTGAATGGGTGGGTGGGTGAGTGAATGGCTGGGTGGGTGAGTGAATGGGTGGGTGAGTGAGTGAATGGGTGGGTGACTGAGTGGGTGGGTGAATGGGTGGGTGAGTGAATGGCTGGGTAGGTGGGTGAGTGGGTGGGTAGGTGAGTGGGTGGGTGGGTGAGTGAATGGCTGGGTAGGTGGGTGAGTGGGTGGGTGAGTGAGTGAATGGGTGGGTGAGTGGGTGGGTGGGTGAGTGAGTGGGTGGGTGGGTGAGTGAGTGGGTGGGTGGGTGAGTGAATGGGTGGGTGGGTGGGTGAGTGAATGGGTGGGTGGGTGAGTGAATGGCTGGGTGGGTGAGTGAATGGCTGGGTGGGTGGGTGAGTGAATGGGTGGGTGGGTGGGTGAGTGAATGGGTGGCTGGGTGGGTGAGTGAATGGCTGGGTGGGTGAGTGAATGGGTGGGTGGGTGGGTGAGTGAATGGCTGGGTGGGTGAGTGAATGGGTGGCTGGGTGGGTGAGTGAATGGGTGGGTGGGTGGGTGAGTGAATGGCTGGGTGGGTGAGTGAATGGGTGGGTGGGTGGGTGAGTGAATGGCTGGGTGGGTGGGTGAGTGAATGGGTGGGTGGGTGAGTGAATGGGTGGGTGGGTGAGTGAATGGGTGGGTGGGTGGGTGAGTGAATGGCTGGGTGGGTGAGTGAATGGGTGGCTGGGTGGGTGAGTGAATGGGTGGGTGGGTGGGTGAGTGAATGGGTGGGTGGGTGGGTGAGTGAATGGGTGGGTGGGTGAGTGAATGGGTGGGTGGGTGGGTGAGTGAATGGGTGGGTGGGTGAGTGAATGGGTGGGTGGGTGAGTGAATGGGTGGGTGGGTGAGTGAATGGGTGGGTGAGTGAGTGAATGGCTGGGTGGGTGAGTGAATGGCTGGGTGGGTGAGTGAATGGGTGGGTGGGTGAGTGAATGGGTGGGTGGGTGAGTGAATGGGTGGGTGAGTGAATGGCTGGGTGGGTGAGTGAATGGGTGAGTGAGTGAATGGGTGAATGGGTGGGTGGGTGAGTAAATGGCTGGGTGCGTGAGTGAATGGCTGGGTGGGTGAGTGAATGGGTGGGTGGGTGAGTGAGTGAATGGGTGGGTGGGTGAGTGGGTGGGTGGGTGGGTGAGTGAATGGCTGGGTGGGTGAGTGAATGGGTGGGTGGGTGAGTGAGTGAATGGGTGGGTGGGTGGGTGAGTGAATGGCTGGGTGGGTGAGTGAATGGCTGGGTGGGTGAGTGAATGGCTGGGTGGGTGAGTGAATGGCTGGGTGGGTGAGTGAATGGGTGGGTGGGTGAGTGAATGGCTGGTTGGGTGAGTGAATGGCTGGGTGGGTGAGTGAATGGCTGGGTGGGTGAGTGAATGGCTGGGTGGGTGAGTGAATGGCTGGGTGGGTGGGTGAATAGCTGGTTGGGTGAGTGAATGGCTGGGTGGGTGAGTGAATGGCTGGGTGGGTGAGTGAATGGCTGGGTGGTTGAGTGAATGGCTGGGTGGGTGGGTGAGTGAATGGGTGGGTGAGTGAATGGGTGAGTGAGTGAATGGGTGGGTGAGTGAATGGGTGGGTGAGTGAGTGAATGGGTGGGTGGGTGAGTGAGTGCATGGGTGGGTGGGTGAGTGAGTGAATGGCTGGGTGGGTGGGTGAGTGAGTGAATGGCTGGGTGGGTGGGTGAGTGAATGGCTGGGTGGGTGGGTGAGTGAATGGCTGGGTGGGTGAGTGAATGGCTGGGTGGGTGAGTGAATGGCTGGGTGGGTGGGTGAGTGAATGGCTGGGTGGGTGAGTGAATGGCTGGGTGGGTGAGTGAATGGCTGGGTGGGTGAGTGAATGGCTGGGTGGGTGAGTGAATGGCTGGGTGGGTGAGTGAATGGGTGAGTGGGTGGGTGAGTGAATGGGTGAGTGGGTGGGTGAGTGAATGGGTGAGTGGGTGGGTGAGTGAATGGGTGAGTGAGTGAGTGAATGGGTGGGTGGGTGAGTGAATGGCTGGGTGGGTGAGTGAATGGCTGGGTGGGTGAGTGAATGGCTGGGTGGGTGAGTGAATGGGTGAGTGGGTGGGTGAGTGAATGGGTGAGTGAGTGAATGGGTGGGTGGGTGAGTGAATGGCTGGGTGGGTGAGTGAATGGGTGGGTGGGTGAGTGAATGGGTGGGTGGGTGAGTGAATGGGTGGGTGAGTGAATGGGTAGGTGAGTGAGTGCATGGATGGGTGGATGAGTGAGTGCATGGGTGGGTGGGTGAGTGAGTGAATGGCTGGGTGGGTGAGTGAGTGAATGGCTGGGTGGGTGAGTGAATGGCTGGGTGGGTGAGTGAATGGGTGGGTGAGTGAGTGCATGGATGGGTGGGTGAGTGAATGGCTGGGTGGGTGAGTGAATGGGTGAGTGAGTGAGTGAGTGAGTGAATGGGTGGGTGGGTGAGTGAATGGGTGGGCGGGCTGGGGGGGGGTACCCCCTCTGTCCACTTGGCTGACACACCAATAAATATCACTCACCCCATGTCTAATCCACCTTCACATCTCTCTCGTCAAACCCCCTCACCCGGATCTCAAACCCATCTCCTCTCTGCCCCCAGAGCCCCCCCTTGCAAGAGGGTCGCGAGGTGGAGGGATGGGCACGGGCAGGGGTCGCCCGTGGAGGTCGTAGAGGTCAACACAGAGGTCACGAAGGTCAGGGGATCTGACCCCAAGGCCCAGTTGGACGACATGAGGAGATTCGAGCAGTTGGAGCGGAGGTGATGCGAGACACTCATCAGCGCTATGTAATACAATGCCACGTACCAATCAGTGCGATGTTATACAATGTACTTTACCGAGCAGTGATATGTAAATAAATGCACTTTACCAATCAGTGCTATGTAATACAATACAGTATACCAATTGGCGCTATGTAATGCAATGCACCCTACCAATCAATGGTATGTTATACATTGGACTATACCAATCAGTGCTATGTAATATAATACACTATACCAATCAGTGCTATGTGATGCACCTTACCAATCCGTGCTGTGTAATACAATGCACTACCAATCAGTGCTGTAATGCACCCTACCAATCCGTGCTATGTAATACAATGCACTACCAATCCGTGCTGTGTAATACAATGCACCCTTACCAATCCGTGCTGTGTAATACAATGCACCCTTACCAATCAGTGCTATGTAATGCAATGCACCCTACCAATCCGTGCTGTGTAATACAATGCACACTACCAATCCGTGCTATGTAATACAATGCACTACCAATCCGTGCTATGTAATAAAATGCACCCTTACCAATCCGTGCTGTGTAATACAATACACTACCAATCCGTGCTGTGTAATACAATGCACCCTTACCAATCAGTGCTGTGTAATCTAATACGTGATACTCATCGGTGATTTTGTGTAGTCTCCAGATAGATGATGATGATGGCGGAGGTGGCGGTGATGGCGGCGATGGCGGTGATGGCGGTGGCGGTGATGGGGCAGTCGTCCATCTCTCCTCCGTCTTTTCTGAGCACTTCCCAGCATGCACCAGCGACGAGATCATCCCACGTCAGCTGTGAGTGGCTAAGGAGATGTTGACTACCTCGCCTGGTACACAGGAGGTCGTGGGTTCTCATTCTGGAATACTCTCAACACCACGGTGGGCTAAGGAGATGTTGACTACCTCGCCTGGTCTACAGGAGGTCGTGGGTTCTAATTCTGGGATACTCACAACACCACGGTGGCTAAGGAGATGTTGACTACCTCGCCTGGTACACAGGAGGTCGTGGGTTCTAATTCTGGAATACTCTCAACACCACGGTGGGATAAGGAGATGTTGACTACCTCGCCTGGTCTACAGGAGGTCGTGGGTTCTAATTCTGGAATACTCTCAACTCCACGGTGGGCTAAGGAGATGTTGACTACCTCGCCTGGTACACAGGAGGTCGAGGGTTCTAATTCTGAATACTTTCAACACCACGGTGGGCTAAGGAGATGTTGACTACCTCGCCTGGTATACAGGAGGTCGTGGGTTCTAATTCTGGAATACTCTCAACACCACAGTGGGCTAATGAGATGTTGACTACCTCGCCTGGTATACAGGAGGTCGTGGGTTCTAATTCTGAATACTCTCAACACCACGGTGGGCTAAGGAGATGTTGACTACCTCTCCAGGTACACAGGAGGTCGTGGGTTCTAATTCTGGAATACTCTCAACACCACGGTGGCTAAGGAGATGTTGACTACCTCGCCTGGTACACAGGAGGTCGTGGGTTCTAATTCTGGAATACTCTCAACACCACGGTGGCTAAGGAGATGTTGACTACCTCGCCTGGTATACAGGAGGTCGTGGGTTCTAATTCTGGAATACTCTCAACTCCACGGTGGGCTAAGGAGATGTTGACGACCTCACCTGGTACACGGGAGGTCGTGGGTTCTAATTCTGAATACTCTCAATGCCACGGTGGGCTAAGGAGATGTTGACTACCTCGCCTGGTCTACAGGAGGTCGTGGGTTCTAATTCTGGAATACTCACAACACCACGGTGGCTAAGGAGATGTTGACTACCTCTCCTGGTACACGGGAGGTCGTGGGTTCTAATTCTGAAATACTCTCAACACCACGGTGGCTAAGGAGATGTTGACTACCTCGCCTGGTACACAGGAGGTCGTGGGTTCTAATTCTGAATACTCTCAATGCCACGGTGGCTAAGGAGATGTTGACTACCTCGCCTGGTCTACAGGAGGTCGTGGGTTCAAATTCTGGAATACTCTCAACAGCACAGTGGGCTAAGGAGATGTTGACTACCTCGCCTGGTACACGGGAGATCGTGGGTTCTAATTCTGAATACTCTCAACACCACGGTGGGCTAAGGAGATGTTGACTACCTCGCCTGGTCTACAGGAGGTCGTGGGTTCTAATTCTGGAATACTCTCAACGCCACGGTGGCTAAGGAGATGTTGACGACCTCGCCTGGACTACGGGAGGTCGTGGGTTCTAATTCTGGAATACTCTCAACACCACGGTGGCTAAGGAGATGTTGACTACCTCGCTTGGTCTACAGGAGGTCGTGGGTTCTAATTCTGGAATACTCTCAACACCAAGCGTGGGCTAAGGAGATATTCACTACCTCTCCTGGTCTACAGGAGGTCGTGGGTTCTCATTCTGGAATACTCACAACACCACGGTGGCTAAGGAGATGTTGACTACCTCGCCTGGTCTACGGGAGGTCGTGGGTTCTAATTCTGGAATACTCTCAACACCACGGTGGCTAGGGAGATGTTGACTACCTCGCCTGGTCTACAGGAGGTCGTGGGTTCTAATTCTGAATACTCTCAACTCCACAGTGGGCTAAGGAGATGTTGACTACCTCGCCTGGTCTACAGGAGGTCGTGGGTTCTAATTCTGAATACTCTCAACTCCACGGTGGGCTAAGGAGATGTTGACTACCTCGCCTGGTCTACAGGAGGTCGTGGGTTCTAATTCTGGAATACTCTTAACACCACGATGGGCTAAGGAGATGTTGACTACCTCGCCTGGTCTACAGGAGGTCGTGGGTTCTAATTCTGGAATACTCTCAACACCACGGTGGCTAAGGAGATGTTGACTAACTCGCCTGGTCTACAGGAGGTCGTGGGTTCTAATTCTGAATACTCTCAATGCCACGGTGGCTAAGGAGATGTTGACTACCTTGCCTGTTCTACAGGAGGTCGTGGGTTCTAATTCTGAATACTCTCAATGCCACGGTGGCTAAGGAGATGTTGACTACCTCGCCTGGTCTACAGGAGGTCGTGGGTTCTAATTCTGGAATACTCTCAACACCACGGTGGCTAAGGAGATGTTGACTACCTCTCCTGGTACACGGGAGGTCGTGGGTTCTAATTCTGAATACTCTCAACACCACGGTGGGCTAAGGAGATGTTGACTACCTCTCCAGGTACACAGGAGGTCGTGGGTTCTAATTCTGGAATACTCTCAACACCACGGTGGCTAAGGAGATGTTGACTACCTCGCCTGGTACACAGGAGGTCGTGGGTTCTAATTCTGGAATACTCTCAACACCACAGTGGCTAAGGAGATGTTGACTACCTCGCCTGGTATACAGGAGGTCGTGGGTTCTAATTCTGGAATACTCTCAACTCCACGGTGGGCTAAGGAGATGTTGACGACCTCACCTGGTACACGGGAGGTCGTGGGTTCTAATTCTGAATACTCTCAATGCCACGGTGGGCTAAGGAGATGTTGACTACCTCGCCTGGTCTACAGGAGGTCGTGGGTTCTAATTCTGGAATACTCACAACACCACGGTGGCTAAGGAGATGTTGACTACCTCTCCTGGTACACGGGAGGTCGTGGGTTCTAATTCTGAAATACTCTCAATGCCACGGTGGCTAAGGAGATGTTGACTACCTCGCCTGGTCTACAGGAGGTCGTGGGTTCAAATTCTGGAATACTCTCAACAGCACAGTGGGCTAAGGAGATGTTGACTAACTCGCCTGGTACACGGGAGGTCGTGGGTTCTAATTCTGGAATACTCTCAACTCCACGGTGGGCTAAGGAGATGTTGACTAACTCGCCTGGTCTACAGGAGGTCGTGGGTTCTAATTCTGAATGCTCTCAACACCACGGTGGCTAAGGAGATGTTGACTACCTCGCCTGGTACACAGGAGGTCGTGGGTTCTAATTCTGAATACTCTCAACACCACGGTGGCTAAGGAGATGTTGACTACCTCGCCTGGTCTACAGGAGGTCGTGGGTTCTAATTCTGGAATACTCTCAACACCACGGTGGCTAAGGAGATGTTGACTAACTCGCCTGGTCTACAGGAGGTCGTGGGTTCTCATTCTGGAATACTCTCAACACCACGGTGGGCTAAGGAGATGTTGACTACCTCTCCTGGTCTACAGGAGGTCGTGGGTTCTAATTCTGGAATACTCTCAACGCCACGGTGGCTAAGGAGATGTTGACTGCCTCGCCTGGTCTACAGGAGGTCGTGGGTTCTAATTCTGAATACTCTCAATGCCACGGTGGCTAAGGAGATGTTGACTACCTTGCCTGGTCTACAGGAGGTCGAGGGTTCTAATTCTGAATGCTCTCAACTCCACGGTGGCTAAGGAGATGTTGACTACCTCGCCTGGTACACGGGAGGTCGTGGGTTCTAATTCTGAATACTCTCAACACCACGGTGGCTAAGGAGATGTTGACTACCTCGCCTGGTCTACAGGAGGTCGTGGGTTCTAATTCTGAATGCTCTCAACACCACGGTGGCTAAGGAGATGTTGACTACCTCGCCTGGTCTACAGGAGGTCGTGGGTTCTAATTCTGAATGCTCTCAACACCACGGTGGCTAAGGAGATGTTGACTACCTCGCCTGGTCTACAGGAGGTCGTGGGTTCTAATTCTGAATGCTCTCAACACCACGGTGGCTAAGGAGATGTTGACTACCTCGCCTGGTACACGGGAGGTCGTGGGTTCTAATTCTGAATACTCTCAACACCACGGTGGCTAAGGAGATGTTGACTACCTCTCCTGGTACACAGGAGGTCGCGGGTTCTAATTCTGGAATACTCTCAACACCACGGTGGCTAAGGAGATGTTGACTACCTCGCTTGGTACACGGGAGGTCGTGGGTTCTAATTCTGGAATACTCTCAACACCACGGTGGCTAAGGAGATGTTGACTACCTCGCTTGGTACACGGGAGGTCGTGGGTTCTAATTCTGGAATACTCTCAACACCACGGTGGGCTAAGGAGATGTTGACTACCTCTCCTGGTGCACGGGAGGTCTTGGTTTTGATCCCAGATTCTGACGATGCCTGCTTCTGCTGCTGTATATTTGGAGTCTGTGTCTCTCTCTCTGTCTCTCTCTCCCCGTGGAGATGTTAACTGTCTCGTCCGGCTTACAGGAGGTCGTGGGTTCACCCACTCACACTCGCCCACACTCACCCACTCACACTCAGCCACTCACCCACTCACACTCACCCAATCTCACACCCGTTCGCCCACTCACGCTTACCCACTCACACTCTCACGCTCACCCACTCACGCTCCCACACTCACTCCCACACTCACTCCCACACTCACTCCCACACTCACCCACTCACACTCAGCCACTCACACTCACCCACTCACGCTCACCCACACTCACTCCCACACTCACTCCCACACTCACTCCCACACTCACCCACTCACACCCAATCTCACACACTCTCACGCTCACCCACACTCACTCCCACACTCACCCACTCACGCTCCCACACTCACTCCCACACTCACTCCCACACTCACTCCCACACTCACCCACTCACACTCACCCACTCACACTCACCCACTCACACTCACCCAATCTCACACACACTCACCCACTCACCCACTCACGCTCCCACACTCACTCAACCACCCACCCACCCACTCACCCACCCACCCACCCACTCACCCACCCTCTCACCCACTCACTCACTCCCACACTCACTCACTCCCACACTCACTCACTCCCACACTCACCCACTCACCCACTCACGCTCCCACACTCACTCCCACACTCACTCCCACACTCACTCCCACACTCACCCACTC